AGAGACGAGGAGTGTCTGGCGGCAGCCAACTGGCGCAAAAAGTGTCTGAGCGTCAGACGCTCCGTGAACCGACTGGCAGCTGTCCGGCGGGAAACGAAGCTTGGTGGATTAGGCGGTAACAGACCTTCAACCGACCGGCGCTCAGTGACCGTCTGTTCACTCGGCCGAATACGTGCTGGCCGCTTCTGCGACTCCTTCAAGGAAGAGATGGGCTTGGAAGCCGCAGCAATAACAGCAGACCGAGACTGACCCGAGGTAGGAGAGGCAGTTGCGACAGGATTCTGAGTCCCATCTAGGTCCTCCTGTTCGTAGAGATCAGCGAACAGAAGTCGTACCATACGACCATGCCATAGCAAACGTAGCTGACTGGTCACATGGGGCACTGCTGCCTGCAGGCTGAGTAAGAAAAAAACACGATGACTGAGTGTGTGTCCGGCGCATTGGGTTTCAGACCCGCTCGATCTTTAAGAATTACATGTGAGTCGTAGTGGGAACGGAATCTAAATGAATTGTAATCTTAGATAATGGGAAAAACAGAATGATAGAAGAAAAAATATTACGAAGAAGCCTTGAAGAACTTAAGTGTGCTGAGGTGAAGTACAGACCCGTGGAATTGGGAAAACCGGTCACATATATAGCTGAAAGACAGGACTAAGGGGCAGTCGGCTGAAGTGAGTGGAGTCTTTGTGCGAATTAAGCACACTTCAGTTGAGTAACAATGATTCGGCTGAATTTAAATCAGTGCCTCTAGCACTGCCATAACGGTAGTTATAAATTTCCTTCGTAAATGTAGCTTACTTGGGTTTAAAGGATCGTTGTAGATTTAGGGATCAACACATGCGTTCAAATCGAAAAAATCGCACTCGGTATCACTGCAGTGCAAACTGATTTAACTGGCCTCACACGATGCCTATCTTTACCAGTTGGTCATCTTTCCGGATAGTCTGCTACATTCCCGTGATGGTTCTGTAATAATCGTAGGCTATTTATTTTGACTGGACGCTTCTAATTTAGTCTACATGCATAGGAAGAAACAGATGACGACGGCATGTCATATCGGTCAGTGTGCTTGAGCTAATCATTATCAACTATCTTCAAGTGGACACGCCATTGGTGTATGGGAAGGAAGAGGGGCAGTGAGGTCGATTCACTTCAGATGCAGAGACTAGTTCCTCAGTATAAACAAATAAATGCACCTTTAAGTTATTACGGCATGTTCATAGTCGTGGCTTCTCGAATTAACTAAGTCATCCATAGGAACAAGGGTTGGACTGCAATGGCTCCCCATTAATGAGACTTTCAGCGCACCCCGCTTATGTGAGGTCATAGACCGGTCGGATGCGTGTGGAGTTGGAAATCAGGTCGTGTGCGGCGAACATTGATGAGTTGTTTAGCGTTGTCAGTTCCACCTCCGGCGGACTTTTTGTTGCCATTGAACTGTGGTGGGCGGCAGAACAGAGCAAGGAGGTTGGTGCTGCACAAATTCCTTTAATCACGAACAAATAGACGGGGGAGTTACGGGAACGTTCACCTCGCGGAACGGCAGTGGATCCCATTGCTTGAGATAGACGAATTATGATATAGCATATTTTAAGCTCGGGGTTTAAAAGCGTTAGTCGAAACTCCTTGACTGCATAAGACTTCCACACACACGAACACTGCTACATTGCCAAACAGCAACCACAAACTAGCATCAAATTTCGTCGCAAATTATACACATTTAGGGGAACCAGCCATTTAGATGAAATCTTCTTATGACATCCACTGTGTATATCGGCGTTAGGAAGGATAGAGCGCACTTAAGGCCTTTTGTTAGCTACCTAAGCATTGCGTTTATTTGCAATGAAACATAAGCCAAAACTGGTTAAGGTACAGAATAAGTGAACTAGACAGGGCTAAAAGTCGGGCAAGGCCAAATGAATGTTCAGCGTCCGAAGTTTCTCCCTTTGGAACGATGTGCATCAAAAGGGGTTATTTCAACATACAGGCACGTGAGTGAGCACAGAGCACATAGAAGTTAGCATCGTGATTCTTTAACTGGTCTGGGAGGTCAAAAGCATAAAGCATATGACCAGAACGTCAATGCCTGCTGGTCAGTGATCATAGAGAAACCAAAATACAACAAATTATCGATTCACAATGCGCCTATAGTTTAATACAATATGTAACTGTTTAATGACCGTTTTGATGGAAAGCCAGACAAGGCGGGAAAATATTTGAGCGCGCTGCGAGGCAAAAATGGTCATAACCAGGTTGTGTGAGCAAATGAACTTAAAATATATATGCTATGATACCGAAACCGGCAAGAGAAATGAAAATGGCAGATGGGGGCTCACCAATCGCGGTACAGGACGTACTCCTCTCGTTGTGCCTTGGAGCTCGCTCCTATATCCAGTCAGCAGTCACAGAGCGGCTACCAAATTACCGGTGTCTCTAATACTAACCACTGCGCGGCTGCTGGAGATGCTGTAGTATGGGCCCCAAGGCACAACGGGATGAATGTCCCGTAAGGCGGTTGGTGAGCGCCCATCTATCTGTATACTTAATAATTGTTAATATGCTCTTTGGCGAACGCTCACATATTTATTACGGAACTATCTAATCCTGTTCTGCCTTGGGGCTCCGTCAGCAGCCGCACAGTGACTAATAATGTAGATAAATGAACATTTCCGGCAAAGAAAACTGCTGGTGTATCCGACAACGACAAGATAACGAGCCTGTAGCTCAATGATTAAGGACTTGGATTTCTAACCAATAGGTCGTGGGTTCAAGAATACTGTCAGAAATGCACTCGAATGCTATAATAATTTGAAAAGAGGACTCACTAATTATCAAGTGGTTGGGCGAACCAGCCAAGAATTGGATGCCAGCTGGTGAGATTGGACTTCTTGCGGCCAACGTAACCACCCAAACGATCTAGCAGCTTAGAGACGACAATCTGATGATTGCAAGAAAGGGGATGAGAGTTCAAAATATTGCAAAGTCGGAAAGAGGTTCGATTAAAATGTACTGTGAAACAGCGAATCGCTGGAAAATTGAGTCGTTTTGGAACGGTAGGAGACGCAATTTTGTCTGAAAGTTAACAAAATTCCTAAAACAAAAGTGTGAAATTAATGAGCTGTCTTTACCTACAAGGGAGAATGTGGTCGACTGCGTGCTAGATTAGTCTCAACAAGTAAGTGCAAAAGAAAGGGATACAAATGGATCAAAGCTTACACAAAACTCTTCGCAATGTTCGACGAGAACTTCTATTTCTAGAAGACTCAAGTGGATAAGGTTGGCTGAAAATGTAATAAACAAAACGGGGATCGGTAACGGGAAACGACAGCCGCTAAACAATGGCATGGTTATTCGTACAGGATAAAATGTTGGGATAATGTGCACTACCAATTATGTCATGCAGACGCCAAGTCAGGTGGCACTTTAATTAATGCTGTATACCAGATAAAGTAAAAAAATCGGAAATAATGATATGAGTAGCTCCACTAAGTAAAAAAATTGATTGAATGGATGCAAACTCCGCGTTTGGAGTCTTTAAGGCTGCAAACCTTTGTGTTATATTCCAGACAGGTGTGCTGCAGGAACTTTATAATGTACCCCATGCAGCCTTGAAACAAATAAGATAAAGAAGACGAGGAACAGTACGACTGCTACCTTCCTTCATTAAGCTAACTTCTAGCGATGGATCGCGTTCAAGTTATAAAGTAAAGTCCATAATGTTAACGCATTGCCTGCTTCAACAGCAACCATTCCGTAGCACATAGTCGAACCAGCGTGAAAGAGTTCTTCAAATACCTACAACAGTAAATCCAAAACAGCTCCCTTGAGGTGCAATGTCCTGTATGAAATTCCTGTTTACCTTCACCATATGAAAAATTCTTGTAATTGAGAAGACGACTCGATCGCTAGGACAACACTTTGTGTAAGTCCCTGGAGAGCCTAAAAACGCTTAAAGGTATAACGTACTATAGTGTGAGTAAAAGGGCTTCACAGATGACTGGAAGAATTTCAACTGGACTAGACGACATAATCGCATATGGTCCAAAGG